CCCTATCTCTACTAAAATTACAAAAACTGGCTGGGCACAGTGGCACCTGCCGGTAGTCCCAGCTCAGGAGGCTGAGGCAGGAGAATTGCTTGAACCCTGGAGGCAGAGGTTGCAGCAAGCTGAGATAGTGCCACTGCACTCCAGATCTGGTGACAAAGCGAGACTGTATCTAAAAAAAAAAAAATCCTTGAGAAAGGCACCTTAACATAGTGATCAAGAGTATGGTCTTTGCAGTCTGTGTCTTAGGTTTGTAACATCTTTGTCTTAGTAGCTATGTGATCTTGATTACTTTTGCACATACAGTTGACCACTGGTGATCTTAAGCAACCTTATCTCATGTGTACAGTATTGGTAAAAGAATACTTCCAGCAGCCGGGCGCGGTGGCTCAAGCCTGTAATCCCAGCACTTTGGGAGGCCGAGGCGGGTGGATCACGAGGTCAAGAGATCGAGACCATCCTGGTCAACATGGTGAAACCCCGTCTCTACTAAAACTACAAAAAATTAGCTGGGCATGGTGGTGCGTGCCTGTAATCCCATCTACTCAGGAGGCTGAGGCAGGAGAATTGCCTGAACCCAGGAGGCGGAGGTTGCGGTGAGCCGAGATCGCGCCATTGCACTCCAGCCTGGGTAACGAGCGAAACTCCGTCTCGGGGGAAAAAAAAAAAAAAAAAGAATACTTCCATTTATGGCATTGTTAGAGGAACAAGATAAAATGTATCTAAACCACTTAGAAAAGCACACAGTAATAAATATTAGTTGTCAGCTGGGCATGGTGTCTCAGACCTGTAATTCCAGCACTTTGGGAGGCCAAGGTGGGCAAATCACGTGGTCAGGAGTTCAAGACCAGCCTGGCCAACATGGTAAAACCCCATCTCCACTAAAAATACAAAAAATTAGCTGGGCGTGGTACCTGTAATCCCAGTGACTCAGGAGGCTGAGGCAGGAGAATCAATTGAACATAGGAGGCAAAGGTTGCAGTGAGCTGAGATTGCACCACTGCACTCCAGCCCAGGCGACAGTGCAAGACTCTGTCTTAGGGGAAAAAAAAAATTAGTTGTCATTATTATTACCCTAATTCTCTTTTTCTTTTTTTTCTACAGCTTGTTTTCACTTGATATTTTAAAGACAGAAAGCTCATGGTGCAAATTGTTATTTCCAGGTGAGCATATTTTGAGATTTTAAAATTTGGCTTGAAATGATGTGGGCTATAGAGGTGTGAGATGTTTCTGGAAGAATCAGGGTCCTTAGGCACGTCTTGCACAAATCCTTGCATTCTCATCTCTAGTTCAGTGCCCAATTTCCCAAGAATTTATGTCTGACAAAGAGGTCCTTTGGACCTTGAATGGTGGTATAGGACACTATTCATCCTTATTAGCACTGCCCAATTTCCCAAGAATTTATGTCTGACAAAGAGGTCCTTTGGACCTTGAATGGTGGTGTAGGACACTATTCATCCTTCACCCCTCAAAAATATTGTAACCGCCAGCCCTTTGCTTGCAGTGCGAGGGCTGGAGGCCTGGCAGAATGGGTGCTGATGGAGCTACAGGGGGAGATCGAGGCTCGCTACAGCACTGGATTAGCTGGAAACCTCCTGGGAGACCTACATTACACCACTGAGGTGAGGGGGCTTTTCTTTCCCTGCCTAATGCCTCAGGAAAGCAAGCTACACCAAGGTGGTGCTCCCAGGACCCAGAGTGAGGACTGCCTCAGGTTTGTTATTCAGGGTCTAGCTAATCTGCGATGCTCTCTGCTTGTTCTCCCCCTACCTCTACAGTAGCAGGGAAATTTAATTTGGGGAATCTGGAAAGCTCACATTTCTGAAAGTGGAAATACTCTTACGTGGGGCTAGAAAGAGTAAAATGGGCACATGGGTGGGTGGTCCAGTGTGGCTGCTCAACAATGGGAGAGCTAGACCAGGGAGTGGAGGTGCCAGCATAGCCTGCCAAGAGCAGCTTTAGGAGGCACCTGAGTGTTATGGCCTTGCCCCAAACCTCAGGAATCTTATTCTTGTTCTGCCAAAGGGAATCCCTGTGCTGATCGTGGGGCATCATATCCTGTATGGGAAAATCATCCACCTGGAGAAACCTTTTGCAGTCCTTGTCAAACACACTCCTGGGGATCAGGACTGTGATGAGCTTTGCCGCGAGACTGGCACCCGGTATCTGGTGACAGCACTCATCAAAGACAAGATCCTTTTCAAAATCCGTCCCAAGCCCATTATCACCAACGTCCCCAAGAAAGTATGAAAGAACCTCGGATTTTCCCTAGAGAGCGGCCAACTCCTTGGACTCGTGCTCCGCTGCCACCTCGAGGACGGCTCAACGGTTCCCTGGGACCACAGGGAGGTCCTGTTCTGAACGCAGGCCACCCACTGGGTGTGAACTCAGATCCCTTCCTTATGGCGGCCGGTTCTCTTGGTGGAAATCTGGCCCCATTTCCAAGGAACCCATCTCCTTTTCCAGCTTCATCAGGCTCATTAGCTTCAAATCCAGCACCTTTCCCAGCTGGTACTCGTGACCCAAGCATGGCTTCTTTTCCAAGAGGGCTGAATCCCACTGGCACAGGTGCAGTTTCTTTCCCAAGACCTGGTGGCCTCTTGGGGCCAGCTCCGGGCCCAGGCCCTGTGGTAAACCCTAGGACAGGGGGTCTTCCAGGCCCAGGGCCTCTGTCTAACCCCAGGTTAGGGGGTCTCCCAGGATCAGGTCCTATGTCCAACCCAAGAGCAGGTGGTCTCTTGGGAGCAGGTCCTGACCCCAGAAGTGGTGGTCCCATGGGCCCCGGATCTGGACCTAACCTGAGAGCAGGTGTTGTGTTGAGCTCTGGGAATGGTCCTCCCAATCCTAGGCCAGTTGGCCTGGGCCCAGGATCAAACCCCAATCTGAGATCAGGCTTTTTAGGGTCAAACCCTGCCCCCAGGTCAGGTGTCTTTACAGGCCCAGGCCTTGGGCCCAACCTAAGACCAAGTGGCCTGGGCCCAAGCCCTAATCTAGATGCCAGAGCAGGTGGCCTCTTGGGCACAGGATCTGGTCTTAACTTAAGAATGGCTGGACCTCAAGGCCTCGATCTTGCCCCCATTCTTAGAGCAGCAGGTCTTTTAGGAGCAAATTCAGCTTCTTTCTCACAGGCTTCTGGAAACATGGGCCCAAGTCCATCTTCCATGGCAAGAGTACCTGCCCCCATGGGCCCAAACTCCGGTCCTGGCTCTCGGGGAATTGGCCTTACAGGGCCAAACCCGTCTCCCATGTCAAGGGCTCCTGTCCCCATAGGCCCTAATTCGGCTCATTTCTCAAGGCCAAGTGGCCCCATGGGGGTAAATGCCAATCCGTTTCCCAGGGGAGTGGGTTCATCTGCCTTCTCTCAATCTTCTGGCCCATTGGCATCAAACCCAGCTACCTTCCAAAGGTCTGCTGGCCTCCAGGGCTCAAATCCAGCAGTTTTCCCAAGAGCCTCTGGGCCACTTGGCCCCAACCCAGCTAACTTCCCAAGGGCTGCTGGCCTGCAGGGTCCAAGTCCAGCTACCTTCCCAAGGTCTGCTGGCCCATTAGGCTCTGGTCAAGTTGCATTCCCCAGGTCAGCTGCCGGGCACCTGGGCTCTTCTCCAGCAGGCCCTATGGGTATCAACCCAGCTCCTTTTGCAAGGCCAACTGGGACCCTGGGTCTCAACCCAGCTTCCTTTCCAAGGATGAATGGCCCTGCAGGCAAGAGTTTGGTCCCATTTCCCAGAGTGGGGAGCCTCCCTGGCACAAACCCAGCTGCTTTCCCCAGACCAGGGGGTCCAATGGCTGCAATATACCCAAATGGAATGTTACCCCCTTAAACACCGTTTTCCTTCCAGGACCACCTTGGTTCCTAGGCACTGTGGTTCTTGGCAGGGGCTGTCTCTTAGGTAAAAGGGTAGTTGTGGAGCTACAGTCTGAAGAACATAGCTGGGGCTCAAGTTCAAATGAGCCATCTTTTTCTTCTGCGTTTTTCTTGACTGAAGGTGAGATGTTATTTGTGGCATGTGAACTGTGGCAGGTGGGAATAATCCTGGCCTTGAGAAAAAGGATCTCCAGCTCCCAGAAGCCTGCTGTGCTTTCTTCCTGCAGCTTTCTGCCCATTGTTTCTTACTAGTTTCTTGAATTGTTCTTGTGGACTTTTCCTCAGGGATACATTGGCCTGCAGGTCCCAGTTCACATGTAGTCCCCTGATCACCATTGGAGAATCAGCTCACTGCTCTCTAGAAACGTGGTGTTGGTGAACGGATCATGCTTCTGTAGCTCTGACCTGGGCAGCTTGGACCTGGTCATCCTCTACTGCCATACCTTTCCCTGGGGGCTTGAACACAGAACAGGGAGATGGACAACCACTTCAAAGACCCACTGAATGCAGTTTCTGCTTGACTGACTGTGCCTGCACCTCTCTTTTCCTGGGACTCAGAGGTGGCCAGATTTAAGGCTTCTCTACTCATCCAACTCCCTCCTTACTGGTACTCCCAATCAAAGAACCTCAAAAATTTAAACCGATGTGGATGGGAATATGGGAATTGGGGTGGGGGTGGGGGAATGAAGGGAATAAATCACTGTGCGTTGTTCAGCCTGATGTGAAAGGATGGTTGGTGGTTTTCCTGCATTGTATCTTTTCTTACTGTTTCTTTAATAAATGGGATGAGAGGGCTGCTGGTGTCACTCTATTTTATTACCTGTTTGATTGATAGGGAAGGAAGTTTACTCTGCTTTTGTTTTAGCATGGCTGGGGTCTTACATCTTGTCAGCTAAAACACTTTTGCTCCAAGAGGAAACAAGCTTTGGTGTTTAGCCTTAGCAAGGGCTCATTCATCTGCCAGTTATTTCACCAAAGACCCTCTACACTGAAAGTGAAGCCCCCATGGGTGTACAGTTACCAGAATGGACATGTTGCCCAGTCTTGAGTGAGTCCCCCGACAAAACTCTAAAAGTCCCTCTTTTGAAACTGGAATAAAGAGCTAGCTTTCATTAAGTACAAAGTAGTAGTTCAGAGATAACCAGCATATGTGAGAATCTTTATTTTGACAAGTAAGTGCAGTATAAAAAACTTGACCTGAAAAGTTTAAAAAAAAAAAAAAAAAAAGCAGGTAAAAATAAATATGTTTACAAATTACTGTAAAAACAATACAAAACAGGATTAGAATTCTCAGTGAGGAAAAACCAAAATGCGTCCAATTGTATAAAGGCTCTTCCCTTGCCAGAAACGGGAATAAAGCTGAAGACCCAGTTTGGTTTTGCTGCTGAAAAATACACAAAATAACTTAGAAAAACCAGTCGAGGTCAAATGTTGTTAGCCCACTACCTGTACCTGCCTATTTTTGATTTGAGGAAAGTTGATGACCACAGTGCAAGACAGAGCTGACGGTAGGACAGCCAGGAGAGCCTGTCATCCTACATTAATCTTCAAGTAAATGCTGAAGAAAAACAAGCCCTTAGTGAAGTCTGAACTCTGCACTTGGTTGACCGGATTTCCTCCATTCTAATGCTCAAAATAGTTTACTTCTTGGCCAGCAGAACGATTGCCTGGAGCAGCTGCCTTAGCAAATGCATGCTGCCTTCCAGCTTTCATGGGTTGGGTCCTATGTCAACCACCAGTCTTAGCAGAAACTCAAAGTCTGTGTGATGTGGCAGCTGTTGGCTACACCTGGAAAACGCTTGAGTTCATGGGAGATGAAGGAAAGCACCAGAGTTTGCTCATCTGTGGCTCAGAGCACACTTTGCGTCTTTGTAGGAAGCACCTCGGTACACTAGAAGCTTGCCCTCTCTGCTGCTGTCCACGTTAGTGCTGGTTCTGCACGGGCTAGCTGGCCCCTCAGAAACGACATTTGGAGGGCAAGCAAGCAACCTCTAAGTCAAAGGCTTAGGATCCCAGGTTTTAAACTCAAAAGCTGAGAACAGCATGGAATTGCAAGTCACTGGAATATGGCTTCCCCTCATTCCCCAAAAGCAGCAGAGGGAAAACAGCCACAGAAGAGAGAAAGCAAGAACCTTAGGATGCAGGAACCAGTTCCATCTCCTAGTTTGGTTTCTGGAAAGAAGCAAGCAATGCAGTGACTGTCACAACTTGGCTGTAAGAATTTCCTGGAGAAGCCACTGAGAATGGATGGTCTTCAAGATAACCATTTTGGATTTGAGAGTTCACTTTGGGAACACTGAAAAGCTTTCCATTGGAGATGATTGTCAAGAACAGTAGCCTGAACGTCACACATGCTAACCCAACTGCCAAGGAATCTGTCCAAGCAGCTACAAGATTGTAGCCAATTTGATCAGAGGCTCCTCATAGTTCCCATATGTTCCGAGAACAGGCCTGCCTCCTGTGTAGATTCTGTAAGAGCCTGGGCTCTGCTCCAGTTGCTACCTTGAAAAACTTACCCATGATGACAGTAGAAGAGGTGACTGCTGTTATACCTCAAAAACTGCCTTTGAAGAAGAAAGTGAAGTGAGTGTCTTAGCCTCAGATCAGAGCTGAATTTGAGAGGAATTCAGAGTGTACAGGTTAAAATACCAAGACTTCACTTTTTTTTCTGAACATGTTGGGGCTTAATCTTTTTATCTCCCCAGCAGAGATCACAGACAAGCTAAGAGCCCATCTAGACGTCTGAGCAATTTCCAGGTGGAACACCCAAGGCCTCCATATAGCTTATGGCCTCCTTTAGCACCACCACAATCTTTGTTCCTCCTGGCAAGCTTTCCTTTTCAGTGTACACTTTTAAAAGCAGTTCAGTGCTAACTCCCTGCTGGTTTGGCTCATCCCTGGAATGTTGATGTGGAGTGGAGTATCTCACATAAAGCACCAGTCCTGGACCCTGTTTTCTGATGCCCAAAGATCAGGCTTCTGGGCCTTGTATCTCAGGCGCAATCTTATTGCATTGATGACTACTTAGGGGTGGGGTGGGGGTAACATACACTAACCAGCCCAGCTCGCTGAGTAGAAGTTCTCCTGCCACCTCTGGTTGTGTTCAGATGGGCTGGGAGAACCTCTTTCCACAGGTTGCCATTACTCAGGTACCTATCACAAGCTGCCACTAAATGGGACTTACTTGGCTTAGCACACTTCTGAGTGCCCTCTGGAGCCCAGGGGGAGGCTACTGCCTATGTGTAGATGCAAGCAGACAGGCAGCCTGGAAACGCAGAAGCCGCTCCTGCCCTGCACCTGGGGATCAGTGCTGCCTCCTCTAAGCAGAGCTTCCAGGCCACACTACGTCACCATTCTTTGCATTTTAGATTTGTCCTTTGGACCATTAAGAGACGAAAACACAGCACTCCCTCCTCCCTCCCACCCCATCTTTTCTTCTTCTGTTCCCCTTCCCTCCCTTACCCATTGCACTTTACCCGCTCTGCTTGGGGGTCATGTCACACCTCAGCAAAAGCCAAGCCATATTGCTCTGGCTTCTTCCCACACCGCCGGGCAATGATGGCCAGATACAGCATGAGGAGGGCCACCCAGTAGCAGCCATACAGGATGGCTCCAGAGACAAGAAAGGCTAGCTCCGTCTCACTGAACAGGTCCTGGCAATAAGCTGTATAGGCCAGCCCTCCCAGGAGAACTGCCACCCAGATGGACACAGGGATGAGGCCAATGAAGTTCACCACAATGGTTTTTCGGCCAGAAGTGCCCCAGCCAGACTTGTTGATGGTAGCAATGGCAAAGATCTTGGCTGGCAGGAGGCTGGACATATAGAGGAGGGAGTAGAGGGACATAAAGATCATCTCTGCATTGCCCCGAAGGAAGCAGGCGTAGGTGGCCTTGATGATGCCTACCAGCTGCACTGTCAGCAGGAAGAGGAGAATGTTCCAGATGCGGCCACGGTAGAAAAGCTGTATGACAGTGGCAATGAGGAAGAAGGGGAAGAAACCCGTGACCACTGACTCGTAGGTCATCCAGAGGTGATGCTTATGGAACCACAGAGAGTTGTAGAGCCACTCCCGAAAGTAAGACTTGCTCCAGCGGGTTTGCTGGTTGAGCCACCGGAGGTACTTAGTGGGGGTCTCTGTGAGGCATTTGGAGCGTGCGGTATACTTAGTTCGGTAGCCAAGGCTCAGGACTCGGTTGGTGAGGTGCCGGTCATCCCCGAAGCTGCACTTGCTGCCTAGGAACTTCTGATGGTACCAGTCCTCCAGGAACTGCTGGAGGAGACTGTTGCGGTACATGCCCAAGGGCCCACTAATACACTGCACGCAACCAAAGTAGGACTGGCAGGCCCGCTCTACGTTGAAGGCCATCCAGTACCGCACGCTGCTCAGGAAGGAAATCCACGAGTCGTACTTGTTCAGGATCTGCAAGGGAATAGAGACGCTGGGCCTCCCCGCCTAATGACCTACACCTGGAGGACACAGACACCAGAGACCACAAGGCCTCCTTACCATGGCTTCTGTGGCCCATTGCTCAGATTCCTGGCCATTGGTTCCTTCAGAGCTGGGAAACCTGAGGCTCAGAGGAGCCAACCACACGCAGTCACTGTCCCCAGCACCAGCTCTACCTTCCTATTGTGTCATCCCATCTGCAGAGATTTTCCCTGCTAAGTGGCTCTAGCAGTCAAAACCACCTTCAATCTCAGGAGGCAGCCTGTGGTGGTGGCAGAGAAGGGGGATTGGGAAGAAGCCAATATACCACCTCCCACCTGTCCTAAGCCTGCTATGGTTGGAAAGTTCTAGGGAGACCTGGGATGCTACTTGAGTATCTCTGGCAGATTGGGCCCCTTATTTTTACCGTATTGCCCTGAGGTCTTCAGCTCGTTCCCTAAGAACAAGGGCTCCTCAAAGATCTGGCTTTGGAGCTACTTGCTGCACCACCGGCCAAAAAGGAAGTGCCCTCTAGGATCTAAGGCCTCAAAGTACTGTGCCCCTCCTACAGTGTAGACTCTTCTCCATACCTGTTAAGTGACTTCCCTTCATGTAGAAGAAGAGCAGGAAAGGGGTTGGCAGCGAGGGAGGCACGCTCTTTGGTGTCAGTGAAAATTGCCAGTGAGGAAACTCCCCTCAAGTACTAGGAAGTCAAGACACCCATTTCCCAGGCATATCCAATTGGATTAGGAAGAAATACAGACCCCTCCCCCCAGATATCCCTGGTGACATCTTACTTGGACATCTCCCCCGACTCCCCCTACTTGGGGATCCTCCTCCAGGACTCGAAGCATCTCGATGGTGCAGGCTGGATCCAGCACGGTGTCAGAGTCGCACACCTGCAGAGGGAGTGTGCCGTCAGCCCGTTCTGACGTCAGGCCTGCACACCCCACCCCCATCCCTGCTCACTGCCTGAAACATAACCCCCTCTCACATGACTCATTTCCAGCCACTAGCTAAGAGATCTGTGCTACCAGAAGGTGCCAAAGGAAAAACGAAGGTAGGAAAAGAAGAATTCAGCTATCAGGCTTGACAGCTACTAGGCTGAGAGGGAGAAACCCTGAAGATGGTTAGGTGTCAGGCCTGGAAAGGGAAACATGCTTAGCACCATACCCGTTTTTAGCTCCTATGGAGCCAGGTGCCACAGAATTGGCCTCAAAATATTTCTCTGGGGTCCTTGGGGAGGAGGGGAACATGTCACTGAACTCAGATGACAGGCACAGTAGGGTAGGCCAGGGCTAACAGACTACGTACAGCCTGAGCTGACCCCACAGGGTTAACCACAGGGTCCCCGAGTCGACCTGTGGTCCTTTGGACAACCTGCAGCCCAGCAATGGTTACCAGTCTACCTACTCACAGGCACCTCCATGACACCAGTAACAAGGCTGCCAGTCTCTGCACCCTCAACAGAATCCCTTGGCCGAACCTCTCAGAACTGGGCACAGTATGGTCGAGGGCTCCCCCTGGAAGCTGCTTTGAATAGGCACGGACGCTACAGCAGCTGCCTCCAGGCAAACTACAAGGCCAACTGGGCCCAGCTCTTGGGAGGCTTATGGCCTGATTCTAACAGGTGGTCCCATTATGAGTTGAACCTGGGCTATCAATGCTTGCCCTAATGGCTGACTCCTTAATTGTTTTCTAAAAAAATTACCCAAGTGGTATGAAGAATCCAGTAAGCACTGGGCAGGAGAACTGACTTACAGACCTGATTCGCTCTGTGGTCACCGTTAGGAGAGCAACAAAGAGATCCACAGATAGACGAAAACCCTGTTCTACAGATAAATGAAAACCCTGTTCTGCAGAAGCCTAAAATCCTTGTATTAAAATTGCTGAATAAGATCCTGGCTGGAAGGAGGCTGCCTCTGACACAACCCCACCCAGCTTTCTCTATGTTGGAAGACAGGGTGGCCACAGACAAGCAGTAGAAGGCTAAAGGGGAATCCAGGCTGGGTCGCTCACATGTGTTTCTTCCCACCTCCCTGCCAGACACATCCTTACATCCTGGTCCATGCCTGGGAAGGGCCCAGGAAGCCTCAGGCCCGACTACAGAGTCTCCTCCACTTACAGGCCAAGATTCCCAGCACTGCTGCTGCTGCTAATCTCACTGCTCCTCCCTCCTCTCCCCTAGCCCATTCATTATATGCTGCTTCGCTTCTTTCAGTCCAGGGAGGGCTTTCTAACTGAGCAAGGTTAGGGGAGAAAGAGGTCTGTGCTGCCTGGGTTTCCCCACTGGCTGGGGCAGAGTTTTGCCTCGAAGAGAGAGATACCCACCGCAGCAGGCGGTGGGAAGACAGGCTGAAATCCAGCAGGTGCTTATGGCCCTGGCCCAGGGCTGCCTTACGCAGTGATCCCAGGGCTGTAAAGAGAGAGCTCAGGTGTGTGAGCCTGTTTGCTGATCCACCAGAACCCAGACCGCCAGGAAAGGGAAATGGTGGGGCCGGGGGTGAGATTTTGTGCTTGCAGGGAATTGGTGACAAAGTCACTGTGGCTTGAGCTTGTGCCAGGGCTCAGGGGCTCTTCCCTAAGCATTTGGGTCCCCAGGAAAGTTCCACAAGGTCCCATGACCCTAAGTGAACTACAGTCAAATAGCCTGCTAGGCTCTCCTCACTCCCTCCAAGGCTGAGGAGGTCCTGGGCTTAGGAAGCCAGAAAAAGATAAACATCAACGCTTATGCAAAGACAGCTATCAAAAGCCAGACACGCAATCTCAGTGAGCTAATTTTAAGTGGGTACACTAGAGACAAATAGTATTAGAGGACTCAAAATGCTATCAGCAGACTGAATTGGTACACAGGTGGGCTGGCAGGACAGCCACTGCGCCTTCAAGCACTGACCAAGTGATGGGCAGCACCCTGCTTTGGCAGGCATGGAGAAGGACAGTCAAATAACAGAGTCGGGAAGAGAGGCAGCGTGGATGCTGTCAAGAATCGTGGCCTAGGCTGGGCGTGGCGGCTCACACCTGTAATCCCAGCACTTTGGGAGGCTAAGGCGGGCGAATCACCTGAGGTCAGGAGTTCAAGAGCAGCCTGACGAATGTAGTAAAACCCCATCTCTACTAAAAATACAAAAATTAGCCAAGTGTCGTAACACACACATGTGATCCTAGCTACTCTACTCGGGAGGCTGAGGCAGGAGAATCACTTAAACTTGGAAGGCAGAGGTTGCAGTGAGCCAAGATGGTGCCACTGCACTACAGCCTGGGCAACAGTGAGACTCCATCTCCAAAAACAAAACAAAAAAAAAGAATCCTGGCCTACAGGGTCCTAGGTTTTGGTTTCTACTTTGTACCAAAATGTGTGGACTTTCTTCTTCTCAACTCTTGAGATTTTTTTTTTGAAGACGGAAACCATGTCAACCTAATACAATTTCCAAGCTTATGTCAGTGACTGCTTTGACCAAAGCTGGGCAGGGTTTATTCAGGGTCCTAGCCCTGCCAATGCTGCTACAAAATGAAGCTGGTCATTCGCACCTGTGTCTCTCACCTCCCAGCCACAACTTTGACACTAGGAAGAATGGGACTTTTTGGCCATTACTAGAATATTTTGAGTATTTCTGAGGATGGTTTCCTTTGCTCTTCACCACGCTTCCTTATGAAGAGATTCAGCCCCATGTTGCCAGTGCTGAGGCAGTGCTGCACCACAGTAAAAGACTTGAGATAGACTTGAGACAGACGGCCTGGGTGCAAATCCTGGCTCTGCACCCTACTAGCAGTGGGACATTAGGCAAGTCACTTAGCTTTTCTGTGTTTTGCTTTCACCTTCTGTGAGTGGAGATAATGGTACTCCCTGGGAGTGTTATGAGGATTAAAAGAACTAAAGTGAAGGTGGGCGCGGTGGCTCACGCCTATAATCCCAGCACTTTGGGAGGCTGAGGTGGGTGGATCGTCTCAGGTCGCAAGTTCAAGAAAATCCTGGGCAACATAGTGAAACCCTGTCTCTACTAAAAATACAAAAAAATTAGCTGGGCCTGGTTTAAGGTGCCTGTAATCTCAGCTACTAGGGAGGTTGAGGCAGGAGAATTGCTTGAACCCAGGAGGAGGAGGTTGCAGTGAGCTGAGATCACACCACTGCACTCCAGCCTGGGGGAACAAGAACGAGACTCCGTCTCAAAAAAAGAGAAGTAACATGGAGCTGGGTGTAGTGGCATTTGCCTGCAGTTGCGGCTACTAGGGAGGATGAGGTGAGAGGATTGCCCAAGGCTGGGAGAGTTCAAGGCTATAGTGCATATTGATCATGCCTTTAAACAGCCATTGTACTCCAGCCTGGGCAACATAGGGAGACCCTCTCTCTTTTAAAGTAAATAAGTCTGGATGTGGTGGCTCACACCTGTAATCCCAGCACTTTGGGAGGCTGAGGTGAGCAGATCACAATGTCAGGAATTTGAGACCAGCCTGGCCAATATGGTGAAACTCCATCTCTACTGAAGATACAAAAAACTTAGCTGCATGTGGCAGTGTATGCCTGTAATCCCAGCTACTCGGGAGGCTCAGGCAGGAGAACAGCTTGAACCCAGAAGGCAGAGGTTGCAGTGAGCTGAGATTGCACCACTGCACTCCAGCCTGGGCAACAGAGTGAGACTGTCTCAAAAATAAATAAATACCTACCACTGTGCTGTACACCCATTTGCTATTATTATTACTGGGACAGCAGTTAGAGATCTGCCCCAAATCACAGAGCTGCATAACGGCGAACAGGGATTCCACCCAGGTCTTTTGGACCCCAGACCGCTGTTCAGAATCATTATGCCTTGTTGCCTTAAGTGTAGAGGTGTGTGCACAACCCAAGGGACCTAGACCAGACCTCAGATTCCTGGAGGAGAGTTTGCCTGGCTGGCCAGCCGCATCCCCATGTATACAGGCTCCTAGGGAGGCGCCCTTACCTGGATGTAGTCCACCGAATCGCCGAGGGCCTTGAATGCCGTGTACATGACCTCGCGCTTGCCTCCCCACTTCTGCATGATGCACGAGAAGGTGCTGGCCCGTACCACGTCCCGCACGCGGTCCATGCCCTCCCGCAGGCTGGCCTCCGTCTCACCCTCGCCCGCCTCATGGTAGTTGCTGCGCCACACAAAGAAGCCGGCCTGCTCAGTGCCACCCAGCACCTCATGGAAGATGTCCAGCATGTAGGCGTCCTCCTGGCGGTTGCCATCCACCACCATGACCACCTTGAGGTCAGGGAAGGAGATGCGCTGGGCTGAGCGCAGGCACTTGCGCAGGTAGTCAGGGTCCTCCTGGTATGCGGCAATGCACAGTGCCACCGAGCCCCGCCGTGGGGAGGGCAGCTTCAGGGCCTGGCCAGCCCGCCGCATGCGCCGGTGCTCCAGGAAGGCGAACAGGCTCTGAATGAGCAGGTGCAGGCCCAGGATGGCACCGTACAGGCCGAAGGACAGGTAGTGCTTTTCCGTGTGGATGAACTGGTAGCCTGTCACATAGGCTGCCAGGATGCCACCTAGCACTGCCAGGGCAAACAGGCTAGTGCCCACCACACGCAGGGCTATCGTCAGCTGCACCGGCATCTGGCGGGAGAAGGCAGGAGATGGAGGGTCAGGAAGGAGGCAGCATTTCCAGTCCATGGGAGCATTGGCATTCTCTACTACTTAGTGGGAATGACCTACTGATCAAAAACGTTACCGCTTACTAAGCATGACTAAGACTTGGTAGACTCAGGATCCGGACTACTGGAGTTCAGATCCCAGCTCTGCCACTTGCTGTCTGTGCCTCCTTAGTCACGCCAACTGTAAAATGTGGGTTGCAGGACTAACCTCACAGCATCTTTGAGGGTTAAATGGGTGACACATACAAAGCCCTTAGAGTAGCACTGATTATTGTCTGATAAGCCAGGGCTCAAAGGGTTACGTGATACCCGGCTGGTGGGTGGCAGAAGTGGGCTCTACCTGGCCCAAAGTGCTGAAGAGGTAAGCTTCAGGGGGTTAAGCTTGAGGCACTCTGGGCACCTGAGGGCCAGCGAGGCAGCCAGTGGCCTAAGAGCTTCTCCGGCCCTGCACCCACTCCTGGAGAGGATATTCACCGGTAAAGCACGGCCACCAATAAGACTCAGGAAGAAAGTGCAGGAGGAAAAGAAAGAGCAAACAAAGGGGCATGGGGTTGGGGGGTGGGGGAAGCAGGAGCCTCCCTTTCTCAAGACAGTATTAGTCAGAGAGAGAAACTTTCCCTGTGTCCTCTGCTTTCTCACCTTCTACTTGCGAGGCAGGAAAGAAAGGGAAAGCAGTGGGAGAAGCAGAGCAGGAAATGCGAGCTGGGGAGTGGACAGCCTCCTGGAGCCCAGCGTTAAAGAGCGCACAGGGAGCAGCAGCCACCACTGCAGCAGCCTCCACGGTGGCTGCCTGGGCGCCCCATCCGCTTGGTCCTAGTGCCCGTGCAGCATGCATCTCTGTACTTGTCCCTTTGCCCAGCCACTCCTGGAAACAATGCCCAGCTTCCATCTTCAACTAAGTCAGGGCCCCTAACATCTGCCCTGTTGCAAACAGCTTTATTTTATAAGAGCCCAGGACATGGCACGAGAGAATTGGGTTTAAGACAGTGCTTGTGCTTCCTGGCTGTCTGACCTTGCCCCAGTTCTCTGAGACTTGGTCTCCCCATAGCACAATGGTAGTTCTACTGGTTTCTTCCTTCATGTCTCAGGTAAGCCATTTCCCAAAAAATGGAAACACGACCCTGATGAGCTACCCTAGTGATGAGGCTGACTGTGGTTTCCTCCAGAGCAGGTGGGGAGAGGGATGTGAGGGAGGGGAAAGAAGAGGTGACAAGGATAGCTGCCCACCCTCCCATTCTGACCCACCCCATCCCCTCTCTGCCACCTGCCTGATCTAGAGAACCCCATGTTCACTCAGTTCTACAGACATGATGCCTCACTTCCAAGCTTGCTCCAACTCTAGGTCTGGAGCCCCCAAAACACACTTTCCTGTCGGGACGCCTCTCACATAGGAAGGACGAGGAACACATAGTCACTGCCTAAGTCTACCTGAGACTCGGGCACCAGCAGCCTTCCAGCATCTTTGGCCAGGAAAGAGCTGTTGGCAGCCTTGCCTCTCCGGGAAGCGCGGCATCTGGGCGCTTGCCCCACCGTCCTGAGGGCCCGCCGGGTGCTTCCCTTGCAGGACTCTCAGCCCTCCCTGTTCCCACCCTTCTGCTCGCGTCTGTGGCCCAGGAGTCCCCAGGCCTGCATCCGCAGCCCAGGAGCACCCCTATTCCCCTCCAGAGCTTACATGCTGAAGGGGTGCGGCGGCCCCCTGCCTGCCTGCGCTCTGGGCAGGGGAAGAGGGCGCCAAGGCCAGCCTGGCAACCTGGGCGCTGGCGCCCCGCCTCGGTGCAGTGCCGAAGGCGGCGCCCACCAGGTCAAAGCAGCCGCGAACGAACTCGCCACGCTTCTCGTCCCCACTCGAGCCTGGCCTCTTGGCAAAGGCGGCACCGGCCACACCCACGTGCCCGTTTCCCAAGACCCAACCAGGAAGGAACCGAAAACCCAAGGAATCCCAGTCGGACCAGGCCCTACTCTTCTTCCAGAACACCAGCTACCTTGGCAAAGTGTGCCTGTAGACAAAGGCGCATCTCCGATGTCGCCGGCCCTCTCCTTCCCTAGGTGGGACCCCTCCCCCGCAGGAATCAGAGGCATTACCCCGGTTACTCCCCCCACCCCCAAATAGAGGCCCCCAAAATGTCCCGCAGCCGGATACCCCACGTGCAGTCAGGCGCTGGTGCAGGCTGTGGTTAAGGTCCTCCTGTCTAGACCGAGGGCGGGGGGCTGTGTCACCCCAAGCCGGCAAAGGCCCGGGGTGATCCTACAGCCTGGACCGCCTCCTCCTCATGCCCTTAGCTCCTCCACGGGAGCCCAGCCCAGGCAAACTAACACGCACTCGGCTTTCAAGGGCACAAGGTTGGGGGCGCTCTCAAGTCCAGCTCCTGGGACGACGCAAGGAGAACCCCCAGCCAAGGACGCACGCTTCTGCATCCAGCCTCCGAAACTTTGAGGGGCTGCTGGTGTGCAGCGTCTCTCCCGCTGACAGGTGCGCCCCTCAGCACGGCCACGCGCAGCGGCAGGGAAACTTGTGCGCCCAGCGGGGCTCCTCCTCTTGTGCCCAGCCACCCTCCTGGTCCCTCTGAGCCGGCCAGGGAAGGGGAGCCCAGTCCCCTGGACACGTGCTGCCGCGGCCCAGCCGACCCGCAGGAACCTGGGCGCCTGGTACCTTGGTGCCCGGACAGGTGCGAACCCCCGGGAGGTCGTGGAAGGTGCGGGGGAGGGTTACCCCAACCAGCCAGGAGCCCCGCACCGGCGTCCGCCTCCTAATTCATTCACAAAACAGGAGCCGCCGGGGAGGAAGGAGGCGAGGCTGAAGGAGAGGATGCAGGAAGAAAGGGAGGAGGGGTCAGTGGGGAGGGGGCTGCGGGAACGGCCGCCGGGAATCCAGGGGCTGCCGCCGCCCCCAGCCCGCCTCCCTGCGCCGGACGCCGCGCCCGCAGGGCTGGGAGCTGGTGGGGTGCGGGGGGCTCAGCGAGAGGCACCCTTGGCGTCCGGCGCGCCCCGGCCCCGGCGCAGCCCCGCGCGGCCCGCCCCTCCTGGGTGCCGGCCCACCCGTGCTCACCGTGCCGCCGGCGGCCGCGCTCCGGAGCTCAGCAGGCCCGTGGCGGCTCCATGCCCCTCCTCCCGCTCCGCTCCGCGCCGCCGCGCGCTCCGACTGCTGCCAGCCCCGCAGAGCCGCCCTTAAGTACCCCGCGCGTGCCCGCTGGGAGAGGCGCCTCCCCCGGCCCTGGGGCCGGGAAAGTTGACCAGAGTGGGAGGGCTCCCAAGGGCACACCCCGGACCTCGCGCGGTCCCAGGGAGCGCTACTGGCAGGCGTTCGGCGAGGACGCCCGGTCCCGCGTGGACGCGGCTCCTGCGGCTCGCAAGACTCGCAGCCCCGGCGCCCTCGCGGAAGCTGGGTTCCTCGAGTGGGGCCGAAGGCCGCGCGGCTCCACACTCGCCCCGGGGCCAACTGTCCAGGCGAGGCGGTCATTGGGCTCAACCTAGAACCTGAAGCGTCATTAACTTTCCAGATACCACGCAGGGACTTCCAAAATTGTTACTCTCCCTCCCCGCCCCCACGCCCCGCTTTCTAACCGCAAAACCTACTCACCCTGCAAGGAAGGCGAGCTGAGAGCACTTACCCCGACTTCTGCACGCGAAGGGACAGTTCACTGTCAAGGGGGCTCCCTAAAATCAAGGCAGCAGAACCTTCCTGCTGGCAAGAAAGACGCGCGGAAGAGAAGAATTATCAAATATAAAAAAAAAGGCTGGTCAAAGAAGATGTTAACAATTGTGACAGCTTAGCTTTGAATTCCGCAGTGGGGCGCTGATGACTTTAAGGCGGTTTGCAAAAGCTGCAAATGGTTTTTCAGGAACCTTGGAGGTTCCGGTGACTTAAAGCCAAAACAATTCCACCTCTTCTTTTTCACACCTTTATTTCCGACATCCAGGACCTCCTAAATTCCCAACTGACCTTATCGCCAGTAGTTTCCAGGTCCCTAAAAGAGAGTGTGCTACACTCGGAAAAGGAGAGACTGAGTTGAAGTGCAGTGGGATGGGGTGAGATAGAGGAGGGGAGGGGAGTTGTTAACAGAGACAAGTTTAGAACCAGCTGAAGGCGCTGAGTTTTACAATCTCAGAAAAACTTGAAATTATAATTAATGACTAGTTTTAAAAAAATGAGTTTACCTGTCTACCAAATACACCTGATATAAATTCTATCACTTCTTCCCAAGCTGCAACAAATTTATAGGCACCTGAGTTGTACTCTATAAACCGCTCCTCTCAGAAGTTTTAGGGGCTCAGGGACTTGCCTGCCTATAGTCACTCAGTCTGGGCCATAGAGCTCACACCTCAGTCCCCAAAGAAAAGTAAAGATCCTGGACACACCTACTCCACACAGTCCCTTCTTGCATTATAGGCCAGGCACAGTGGCTAACACCTGTAGTCCCAGCACTTTGGGAGGCTGAAAATGGAGGATTACTTGAGGCCAGGAGTTAGAAACTAGCATGGGCAACAAAGTGAGACCCCCCCCCTCCCAATCTCTATAAAAATTTAAAAATTAAACAGGGTCAGGCATGGTGGCTCATGCCTGTAATCCCAACACTGGGAGGCCAAGGCGGGCGGATCACCTGAGGTCGGGAGTTCAAGACCAGCCTGACCAACATGGTGAAACCCCGTCTATGAAAAAAAAAATACAAAAATTAGCTGTGGTGCATGCCTGTAGTCCCACTTAGGAGGCTGAGGCAGGAGAATCACTTGAACCCGGGAGGCAGAGGTTGCAGTGAGCCAAGATTGTGCCACAGCACTCCAGCCTGGGTGACAGAGCAAGATTCCATCTTAAAAAAAAAAAAAAAAAATTACCCAGGCCTGGTGGAGTTTGCTTGTAGTCCCAGCTACCAGGGAGGCTGAGGCAGGAGAATTGCTTGAACCCAGGAGGTCAAGGCTGCAGTGAGCTATGATCGCACCACTGCACTCCAGCCTGGGTGATAGAACAAGACTTTGTCTCAAAAACAAACTGCTGGACTCAAACAGCCCTTCTGCCTCAGCCTCCCTAGTAGCTGGTCCTATAGGCATGCTATCCAGACCAGCCGAGAATTATGTTTTGAACTTCAGATGGCCTGAGGGGCCCTACCAAAACCATTCCTACTTACACAAAGACACACAGCCGGGCGCGGTGGCTCAAGCCTGTAATCCCAGCACTTTAGGAGGCCGAGGCGGGTGGATCACAAGGTCAAGAGATCGAGACCATCCTGGTCAACATGGTGAAACCCCGTCTCTGCTAAAAATACAAAACATTAGCTGGGCATGGTGGCGCGTGTCTGTAATCTCAGCTACTCAGGAGGTTGAGGCAGGAGAATTGCCTGAACCCAGGAGGCGGAGGTTGCGGTGAGCCGAGATCGTGCCATTGCACTCCAGCCTGGGTAACAAGAGTGAAACTCCGTCTCAAAAAAAAAAAAAAAAAAGACAGATAAGAAGCCTTAGATTGGTGGAGGGGAGGGCTCTAGAGTCTGCCAATAAGCAGTCTTCATTCCAGAAATGGGGTTGTTAGGTGGACTGATAGGAAATTAAGAGACTGGCTAACGGTAAGCACTCAGTAAGTGTTAGTCACTCAACCAGAAAGCAGCAGTGTTTTCCCATGGTCAGGGTTCTACATCCCCATCCCTCCACAACACTCAGTGACAGCAAGTTCAAGGATCAGTGTTTGAATAAAACAAAAATGTCTGGCCAGGCACAGTGGCTCATGCCTTTAATCCCAGCACTTTGGGATGCTGAGGTGGGTAGATACCTGAGTTCAGGAGTTTGAGATCAGCCTGGTCAACATGATGAAACCCCGTCTCTATTAAAATAAAGCAGAAAAATTGTGCCAGGGGTGGTGGCAGGCACTGCCTGAAGTCCCAGCTACTCAGGAGGCTGAGGCAGGAGAATCACTTGAACCCAGGAGGCAGAGGTTGCAGTGAGTCAAGATCATGCCACTGCACTCCAGCAGTCTCCAAAAAACAAAAAAGAAAGAAAAATGCCTTGTCTATCTTGCATTATGAACCCTGGAGTCCCGAGGCTACCTCCTCCACATCCAGGGGCATCACAGACCCCTGGAGTTGCTGCAGACGATGATCTCTCTGATCCTTCCTCCTGCCCAGATTTACAATCTGCAACTTTTTTTTTTTTAAAGATGGGGTTTCACCATGTTGATCAGGCTGGTCTTGAACTCTCAACCTCAGGTGATCCGCCGGCCTTGGCCTCTAAAGTGTTTGCATTACAGGCGTGAACTACCAAGCCCGGTCAATCTGCAACATTTTACATCAGAGAAATCGAGGGGGGCGGAGGCAGGGGCAAAAATGAGTCCATCAGCCTGGTGGAGAGCAAATGCTCCGTTTAGAGACTCATCTCCCTGTGGAGGGAGGGCCCTGTGTGGCCAGATGCTCTGTTGTCAAGAGAAGCCAGAAATCGAGATTTTGTATGTGAAATCTCCTATTTTTTTTTTTTTTTTTTTTTGAGACGGAGTTTCACTCTTGTTACCCAGGCTGGAGTGCAATGGCACGATCTCGGCTCACCGCAACCTCCGCCTCCTGGGTTCAGGCAATTCTCCTGCCTCAACCTCCCGAGTAGCTGGGATTACAGGCACGTGCTACCATGCCCAGCTAATGTTTTGTATTTTTAGTAGAGACGGGGTTTCACCATGTTGATCAGGATGGTCTCGATCTCTTGACCTCGTGATCCACCCGCCTCAGCCTCCCAAAGTGCTGGGATTACAGGCTTGAGCCACCACGCCCGGCAAAATCTCCTAATTTTTTTAAGCATTGGTAATTAATTCAAATGTTGAAGGAAACACACACACAGACACACACACACACACACACACACACACTCTCCGTAGGCCAGACATTATGTGTCTGAGTCATAACCAGCCAACTGGTTGCTTGTAAGTGACCTGTTTAGAAGCCCCAAGGAACGGAGCAGCCAGTTTGGAAGGGTCCCTTCTGCCCTCACTCAGCAGAAGGGTGCAAGTTTGTTTACCTGTTGATGAGAGAATCCACCTGAAGAGTTTGAGGATTTCAGGAGAGGTCTCTGTGAGCTGGAACAGGCTCAGCAGTTTCATGGGGAACTTGAGCTGCTACATAGAAAGAGAAGAGCATTCTAGGTAGGAAGGATAGCTTAAGTACAAGGCCCAGGTATATTGTTTACCTGGGGCTGGGCCAGGATCATCTCATGCCTAGTTTCTTAGACTCCAACTGTGTTCCAAGGTTTATTGCCTTTCTCATGCTGCCAGCTCCACAGAGTTTTCCAGGTGGTGGGGCTGGTTAAGCACAACCTCACTAGTCCATTAAAACCTCCTAAACCAACAGTGGGGTCCAGATAGGACCTCATGAGAACAACAAACACCCTGCCTGTACCAATTAATTGGCTTTGCCCCCTAAATGGCCTCCCCTAGGGAGCACTTTCTCTTTTTCTGATCTGCAGGGCCAGGGACCTGGTGTTATCAGGCAGATAAGAGAGTCTTTACTTTTGTGGCAGTCTATGCCAGGGAGGATTTGCCAGTAATTAGCATCCAGTTTGTGGTGCCCTATTTGCATTCATCCCTTCACGGGGAGGTGGAGAAGGGTTTCTTTAAGGGGCTGTTACAATCAAGCTGGAGTTTATCTCTGCTTACCACTGGGGATT